GGTATTTTTGGCAAGAACCGCTAAGTCGCAGTCGTTAAAAAACAGGTCCCGTCAATGCTTAGCACAACGCTACAAAACACAGTCAAAAGGACCCTCGGGTTCCGGGAAAGCATCCGCTTCGCGTCCTTCCTTGGCGCCATCTATCGGCAAAGACGCCAAGTGGTTATAGTCGGCATTTTGTCTCTAGTGAATCATGTCAATATTAACGTCATTTTTTAAAAATACATGTTATTAAAATATTAACAATAATAATATATTTATAAAAACATTAAATACTATACAGCTATTTTGCTTTTTGATAACACGGCAAAGATAATACAATACAAACCCACTAAAGAACTTGTAACACAATAAATTGTCTATGGCACCACGAACAATCAACGATAGGACTAAAATTATTGCTTAACTAACAAATGCTGTCTTAAGTTCCAGTAGATAAAAAAAAAATAATATCTGAGCCAACAAAATAAAATCATCAGTTAATGGAATTATTTAGAAAAAATCTATTTAAAGAATAAATTAATTCCAGTTTTAGACCTATTATTTTATTCATTTTTCTATAAACTGACTAATAAATAGATATTTCGAGAATCTACGAAATCGTGCATAAGTTTACGTGGTTTTTCAGTTATCCAAAGTTTACTTTTTTTAAAAATGAATTTAAAGAATTTGATTCTTTTTTTCAAAGAAAGTTCCACAGGCTACTGTAATACTTTTTACAAAACTTCTGGATTCGTCATGCGTCGGTTTTTGCTGAGTCGAAATTGCTGACGTTTCGCCAATCATCCTGTTGGTTTCTTCAGAGCTCGACTGAAATGTCTGCTAGGGTTTTTTGACCATGAGGCCAAATGAAGCCTTTGAGAAGAAAGCTCTCGACACCTTTCATCTAAAACCAAAAATATGGAAGTCGATGATACTTTTTTTATTTGGCCTCATGGTCAAGAAACCCTAGTAGATTTTCTGAGACATTTAAACTCTATACACCCTAACATACGTTTTACCATTGAGTTGGAAACTAATAATAATCTTCCATTCTTAGATATTCTTATCAATAGAAAATCAGACCTAACATTGGGTTATTGTGTTTACAGAAAACCTACGCACACTGACCGATACCTTAATGCATGGTCACATCACCATCCGGCCCAAAAATTATCGGTTATAAACTATGTTGTTTACAGAGACGTAAAACTATCTCAGCCCGAGTCACTGAAAACGGAATTAAAACACCTTACCTCTGCTCTTCTCTGTAATAATTTCCACATTAAAGATATTAAGCGTTCCATCAGAAAATACTCTTCACCACAACCTTCCAATAGCAATGCGACCGAAAGCAATGCTACACTTGCCACTGTGGTCTTTCCTTACATTCAAAACATCATTGACCACATATCAAAACTTCTAAAGAAGGATAACGTGTGAACCAGATTTACCACTCGTCCAAAAATCCCTCAACATCTTCAGTCCGTCAAAGACAAAATTCCATTTGAGATTCCAGGAGTTTACAAGCATTCCATGCATATGCGGCAAAGAATACATTGGAGAGATCGGACGAAAAATATCAACTAGGCTCAAAGAACACGAAAGAGCCGTACGACTAAGCCAAATAAACTCATCAGCTGTTGCCGAACACACTCATGAAACCGGACATAAAATTTTATTCGATAAAACTAAAATTCTTGCATGTAATCAGTTCTTCTACCAACGAAAAATCCGAGAGTCTATAGAAATCTATAAACAACCTAACAATCTTAACCGCGTCTCAGGTCCTTATCTGTCACCATTTAGCTCCGCCCCCCTCAAACAATATATAAGCAGGTACGGAGTAAAATACGAGCCAGTTTCAGTCAATCTCTGAAGAAGCCAGCAGGATGATTGGCGAAACGTCAGCAATTTCGACTCAGCAAAAACCGACGCAGGAGGAATCCAGAAGTTTTGTAAAAAGTAATTTAATTTTTTAGTATACAATATACGGTTATACAATTTTGGCGGGAGGTATGTACGGCACCTCGATGTTTATAGTCTTCTCAAGAAGTAGCAATTTATATTTGAGTTTGTTGCTTGTATTGTAGTCATGGTCGATTTTTTCAAGGGTGTGTTTATATTTGTGTTGACGTATTAACAGATTGTGGCTGAATATTTGACGCGGATCGAGAACTTTTGCCAAATCACATAATTCTTGTAATTTTTTTTTAAGATCAATTTTTGAATTTTTTCTAATTGATATGCATCTCCCCAGGTTGTTATACTATATCAAATATGGGTTTCAACAAGTGCGTTATAGGGCAGTTTTAATTGAGTCTCGTTTAAGATCGAAGATAAAAAGTTCAATCTTGTTAAAAGTGACCTAATCTTCTTCACAACACATGCGATCTCAACATCTATCCAGATATATACCTAGATACTTGATATGTTGTTTGAATTTTATTTGGAAAGTTTTTTGATTGATGGTAAACCTCAACATATGATGTAAAGGCTAAGAAAAATGTTTTTTCACAATTTACAGTCTAACTGCGGTGATATCAGCAAACCTCATAACCTAATCCTTTGATGTTGAAACTTGAAAAGCCCGTTAATTCAGATGTTAAAGAGGATAGGGCCAAGTATGGTTCCTTGTTTTCGATTATTTAAGTAACTTCGTAATAACTGGTATGGAATGCCTCTAAAGCCACTACTGTGCAGCCAAAAGTTGTGTTCATCGTCGACTGTGACGAATGCTTTAGCCAGATCAAGAAATATACACAGTGATGGAGCTTTTTTGTCTATACACTTGGTTATGCTAGCGTCTAATTCAGCTAATGCATCCTATGTCGACCTTTTCTCTCTGAAACCATACTGATTTTTCGAGATAATGTTATACTTTTCCAAGTAATCTACCATCTCTTGGTTTAATATTCTTTCAAATGTTTTCGTAAAACTTGAAACCAGTAAAATTAATATATAATACCTTCCTTAAGAATTGTCGGAAACACTCCTTCAGAAAACGATTTCTTCATTAAGTATGTAAGAAGAGACAGAAGCGAGTCTCCAGGAGCTTTATTATTTTTTACGCCATTAACTGTTCTTAGTACATCCTTTTCCGTGGTCTTTAAAGATAAAATGAATTTTGTAGTACTGTATCATGTTTTTGTCGACCTACCCAACCTTGTAATTTTATATTTTGTGCTAGGAAAAACATTAAAATACATTAAAAAACATTAAAATAATCCGAATCTTTTTTAGACGTAACTGACGTATTTAATGCGATTCCCAACTTTTTCTTTTATATCTCTATTCTTTTTTACTCAATTTATTGTCATTTTTGCTTTACTTTATTTTAGTGGATCAAATGGAAATGGAAATAATACCATTTATTTTACTTTCAAATGGCTTAATATAAATTTGAACGTTTTAGCATCCGAGAATCGCTGTATACATCGAAGCTAGGACTAAGTATTCTTGCAACGCGTAGGCGTTGACTCGTCTGCGAGAGTATCTTGAGAAGGTTGAGAATGCTTACACATTATACAAGAGTTCAGCAAGACCTTTTTGATTTCTACGAAGAAAATTTTACTATTATTTATGGTTCATTTACAGCCAAATGTTTATAATCTTCTTCTAGAAATTAATTTATGGGACGCATAATCACAGAAATCATAATAATTTAGTATTCTCTGCCCAAAGGAGATATTTTTGGATTTTGATAGGAAATTGTACCATACCTGAATCGAGGAGGCTTTTACTTGATGAAAATCCATTTAACACAATTAAATTAGAACAAAAAATGGTCATATTTTCATAGTTACTTATATTACGGAGGTAAAGTACGTATTTATGTACCTGATTCTCGCACTTTGACCCTGCGAGGCTGTTTTCCCTGGATAGTTCAAAGGGTAAGAGTAAGTACTTGTACTCTATTTATCTTACAGGTAAGTTTGAAAATAATCATTTTTGTCTTGTGTGCCGGCAGAGAATTAGAATCTTCTTGTTTTTTAACATTTTAAAATGTGGAGACCGTGGAATGAAGCAGATGTTGGAAGAAGGCATGGAAAACAACGCAGAATTTAAAGACGAAGTGGGGATGATGGTCAAACCTAATGGCAATTTAGAAGACGAACTACCTCAGCAAATAAAAAAACGAATCCCTTTGTCTTCGGATGCTAAACAAATTGTTTTGAATGTTTACAATTTTATAAGAAATTCAGAAGGAGAAGTGGGAGCAGTAGGAGAGCAATTTTTTTATGTACATGTTTCAAGAACTTATACTTATAACTACACTTATACTTATAACCCGCTTGTTAGTGTAGGACGATCCTGGAATTGTTACGCGTCAGGGGCTGCCCGGAAGGGTGTTCTATAAGGGGCTGCGGATTTGGAGTAACAAACAGTAGGCAAAGTTAATCACAGGGTCGGTTGTAAAAGCACTATAATTCTGGTCGAAGTATACTTTATGACGGCCATTTCGAAAATACCGTGCTTTTTTTTATAAATAATATATGTTCTAATTCAATCGAATTACATTCGTTACTAGAATAGAAAATTACATTAAATCGAATCGATTGACTAACCAAATCGAAAATTTGCAGATTATTTATTGTCGAAACGTTGAAAAATACAAAACACATCCTTGATGTCGAAAGTAACCACGGCTTCCTATAAATCTATGCGGATTTGTTCGCTACGCGACGGTTACGCACCATTTCGCGTTCAAGTTACCGACGACAGTCCAAACACGATCCGGACCCTCATATACTATGCTACACGGTCTACGTGCTCGAGCGACGTTTTGACGTAACGGCTGCCGACGCAGATCCTCGCGACGATTAAACATCGCGTAAACTAACGGCCGAGATAATCCGAGGCAATTGCGCGACATTTTCATAAATATCGCATTAAACATCCGTTAAACACGCACCGATTAAGTTTAACGTCCACACAGATGTCAACGTCGATCAATACATGACGATTAGTGCCGTGTAAATAGTACTCGGCGTACCGTAGCGGCATGTTTTTCCTTTCAGATGAAATTTTACGCGGAAGCGACCCTACTGATGATACTGCCCGCGTACGTGGCATTCGTATCGTGCGCCCCGACGTTTCAGCCCCAAAACGAGCAGCGTCAGGCGAAAAATTTGCCGTTTTTCGACTACGCCCAGCCCGAAGCGGACTACGACGGATACGCCATAGATAGCGACGACTACGTTTCGTTGGCGATAGAAGAAAACGACATTGGCAGGACGATACCGGCGAGGAAGCGATTCAGGCCGGAATACAACTCGCCGATATATTACATCAGACTACCGCCCCAACCCTACATGTTTGTCCCAGGTAATTGCCACGTATTGTAACGACCACAAGAACGAAAATGCAAATGCTCAGTGCTGTCAGCAATATGACGCGAAAGATTCGAAAGAACCATTTTATTTGAATATAAAAAGCAGGCTTTACTAATTAACGTTCCATTATTAAAATTAAAATAATTAAAATTCCAAAATGCGGCATTTGGCTTGGCTCAAATATTTCTATTTAAGTCTGTTCATAGATATAAGAAAGTGAGTAACTGATACGAATTAAGGAAAGACCCGGGCAAGCTGTAAGAATGAAATATGTCCCAACAGGTCCGTACTTTGCTTAGAATTTAATTATTTGGGGTTTTGTTAGGAAAGATACTAAACAATATTTATTTATTTATGTATGTATTTTAGTTTAAATGTAAAATAAAATTACAAATTATTTTTACTACCTACTTAAATTATTTAAAACTATTCACATAATATGTCAGTATCACTATCGCTATCATCGCCTGTTCTAATTATTAGTTGTTCTATATTATTTGCAATATGAATATATGATTGTTCTGCTTTTTTTATATGTTTAACAGAATTTGCCCAACTTTGTGGAGCGATGTTAAAAACTTCGGTTTCTATAAGTTTGAGGACATTGGAGTTAACACGGGCAAAAACATTGTTACGACGAATGGCAGATTTCAGTTGGTGCCAAAAATGTTCAATGGAATTAAATATACAGTGAGGTGGAAGCCTTAAAACTGTATGCCCAAGATTTTTTTCATACTTATCGCAGACGTATTCGTTTTGTAGGTTCAAACTTTGTGAAACCTCAATTAATTGCTTTTTGGTATAATCTTCGTGAAAATAAATGTGGTTATTGTTGCTTTTGTGTCACATGAGGAATGGGTTTTAGTCAACTCTCTGCTGTGATAACTTGCATTGTCCATTACAATGACTTTATTAGGAGGAATGTTTGGAATTAGTTTGTTTTTAAACCAACTTTCAAATAAATCAGCGGTAATCCAGAGAAGAATCTTTAATATTTTTCGCAGACAGAGACAGTCCATTTGGAATCCAACCATCTTTAGAGCCAGCATGCAACATAGTTATTCTTTTACCTATTTTTGATGGCGCGTTTGTTTTACACGCGTTTACGTTTACGCGTTTGTTGAGTTATCCCAACCCTTTTCCGGGGTATCATAAGTTTTGAACCAGGTTTCATCCAAATAAATAATTGGCCTTTGTTGTTCTTTGTAAATCCTAATTTTTTCTAGATATTCCAGTCGGCATTTCTGAATTCTAAAAGATTCCAATCAACTTTTCTAAATCTAAAACCCATGTGTTGAATACACTTTTCTGCCACATTTAACACCAGTTTCATCTTTTTCAAGCCTCCTAATTAAGATATCTAATGTAGGCACGCTTTGTTCCTCGTATAAATCTTGATCACTTTCATCTACACTCGAGGAAATGTCAGCATCGCTTCTTTTTTTCCTCGCTGAAATGAGATTATTCACAATTTTCCATACAGTTGATATTGGAATTTTCGTCAATGTGGCCGTTTCTTCTAAAGATGCTTGCTTGCTGGCACCACGCTCAATTAGAGTCAAATAAACATTGTTTATAACTTCCTTAGTCTCAATAGAATAGTGTTTTCTACATTTGGGCGGGAGCATCTCCTGAGATACACTAGACTCGCACATGTTTTGCATAATTCGCACACGATTCATCACACGCTGTATTACACTCGAAATAAAAATGGTTAGTAATAAACTTAAACTAAGTAGTATACCAAACTAAAAAATATTATACACAGGTAGGTATAAAATTATTTTCTATTACGAACCACAATTTTACCTGAATTTAAATTCCGAAACTTTAGGTAATAATCTTGTTGCGTTGTATGTTAATGACCACCCTTGGATAATAATCATTCAAAAACAATTGGTCTCTTTCTTATATCTATGAACAGACCATACCATTAAATATTGAAAATTATAAATTGGTAAGGCGTGATCATAATGGTAGAGGGGGTGGTGTGGCTTTTTACATTAGAAAGAATCTAAAACACAAAGTTCTTGTGAATATCGTCTATAATAATGTAGCGCTTGAACAAATGTGGATATCTATTAATATTGCTGGTCTGCGGGTTTGTTTGGGAACCCTTTACAGACCTCGTCACTTGAATCCGAATGACTGTCTGCAGTCACTTGAAATAACGTGGTTGATCTTCTTGGAGTGATTTGTAATAATGGTTGCGCTATTTTTTCCAATTGCTTGAGCAAGTATGGTCTTTTTGAACATTACGGGAGCCTACCAGGATCAGTCGTAGTACCTTGACTCTCATTGTATTTAAAAGATCGCATCTCTGGTCATCATTTGGTACACTGTAAATTGAAGATACCTAAATCTAAACCCAAATCTTATTTTAAAACCTACGGGGATTTACTTTTTACCAAACTTCTGTATTCCTCCTGCGTCGGTTTTTGCTGAGTCGAAATTGCTGAGGTTTCGCCAATCATCCTGTTGGCTTCTTCAGAGCTTGACTCAGCAAAAACCGACGCAGGAAGAATCCAGAAGTTTTGTAAAAAGTATTACAGTAGCCTCTGGAAGTTTTTTTGAAAAATCTACAGGGATTTTTCTAATTTTTGCTATGAACATTTTCTATTTGCTTTAAACAATATTAATTGGTATGAAATATTCAAACTGACGTTGTTAAAATGGTGGAGTTTTTTAATACTAACTTACTGGAGATGTTCAGCTTGCATGCTCCTCTAAAAATTGCGAAGATAACAAAACCGCCAGCTCCTTGGCTCACGGGAAACTTAAAGATAATGATAGAGTTGAAACATAAAGTGATAGAGTTGAAACATAAAGCACTGGCCAACAATCCTGGATTGAATACAATTCCTTGTAATCTTGTAAATAAGGCTGCTAAGTCGGAGAAAAAGGCTTTTTTACAACACATTTTTTTTACGGATCCAAAAAACTTCTATTGTGTACTTAGATATTTTAATGTCTACTCCGGATCTTCACTAAATACAGATGTCTCAAATATTGTGAATTTTGTAATAATACCCCTCAAGCAGACTTAAATAATGATTTCATTAACCAGTTCTACAACAACTCTTTAAATCCAGATGATACCGTGATGCCAGAGCTGATGCCATGGGGTCTGATGGGATTCATAGAAAAATGATATTATATATTATTCCCCAACTTTTGCCGCATATTACGTACATTATTAATAAGTTCTTGTCTACTAACAAATTCCCTAAACCCTGGAAATACGGTCCCGTTATTCCTGTCTCTAAAACCTCTCCACCTCAAGATGTTTCTCAATTCCGACCTATCACCATTCTCCCTACTATGCCTAAAGTGCTAGAAAAAGTTTTCAGATTTTATAGCTAGTTATAGTTACATTAAAAGTATAGGGGGCTGTTTACCGTTCCCAAACATACTTCGGCACAATTCCAGCGCAGTTTCACGTATAATGCTATCAAACTTAGTACAAACTCGCTCTCCAACTGAGATTAATCACCTCAATAACTTCTTTCAAACAATACATTTATCATATTAGAGATCGATTATAAAACTAGTAAATATCAAATTGTATAGATGTATAGTGTTAATTTATTTTTTCATATCTCTTTCTGTTTTAAATTCACAATTTAACTCCTTTTAGGGGTTGCATTAGAGCAACTATGCCGCCCTCGCAATTATATATTTGGTAAGATATATCCTTCTAAATCAAACAAAGGCCGTTTATTATTATAATAATTATTAAATTCACATTGAATATTTAAAATTACTTCTTTACTTTACTTCTCATGGACACAAACGTCTGTTTAAATTCTTCTTTTGGGTTTCACAAGAACCACAGTTTTTTTTCTGCAGTGCAATAATGTCCGTAATTTCGTAGGTGTAGTCATTTATCGACATCGCATGTCTCCGTTTGCTTGTGCGTCGTTGATTACAGAGACGGACTAAAAAGTTAGTTGCTTTTGTGTCTATAGGTTTGGGTTACGTGTCTCAGCCGCCGACCAATCCGATGTCGCCTTTCGTCAACGTTCCCGTCAGCTTCGTGTCCAACGGCAAACCAAATTCGATCTATCAATGGACGGGGGGCATCGAAATACCGACGGTGGCGCCGCATCCTGCCACGACGCTCAAACCCAAACCCGCGAGGAAACCAGTTGGCAAGCCCGATTCGTCTATCCACAGGTTGCCCGGCCAATTCGCTTTCAATGGTCGGCCCGATGAAATTTTTGTGCTTCGGGATTCGTATAATTCGTTGTACGGCGACGTTTTGCAGAATCTGTATCCGTAAGGTTAAACGCTCGATGGTCTGTGATTTCATGACGTCATAGCATTGCGAGGGTTTTTTAAAGCTTGAAGCCGCATTAATGAGTACCTATACTTTTTAATAAAATTTAAACCGGGCTAGAAGTACTACCCAAATTTGTATATAGCCGCGTCCACGAATTATGAAGTTAATATATTATATTTATTTTGTTTTGTACCGCATTTTGAGAAAATTCGATGTATTTATACAAATAAAAAGTCATCAAAAAGATGCATCTTTTATTAATGGTATCCCCACATATAAATTCCAAATAATTTCTTGCCACATACGCCATGTTATTATCGGATCACAATATCCGTGGACATGGCCAGCAAGAATCTGATGATTCACTTTGCGGAGAGGTTATTGCTACCGAACGATATTGAGATGCCGATGGCGCTCGCGTAACAAAAGACGACCGGTACGGTTTTGAGGCGGTCAAAAAACTGGCGACCTTCCAAGGCTGTTTTTTTAACCGCCGAGTTAATTTGCATCCTTTAAAAGAGATGACGGCCGGTAACATCGTGTCGAGGCGTTTTAGATTCTTTTGCGGCAGAGCAAACATAAAAAAAGGTTGGACAAGTATATCGGCAATAATTGAATATCGACCCATCGGAAATCAAATTTGCATGGTGTGGTTCTTATTGTCTTTGGTATGTGCCAAAAACAGCTCGACACTACTTCGTTAGTTAATCTTTACAATTTTCTAGAAAACTAAAACTAGCACCAATGAACGACGAAAATTTGCGATTCATTAGCAATGACAAAGATTGAAGTTTCCAACAGGAACCAAAATGAGATATATTTTTGACAATCTCACCACCTCTTGAGGCCGGGCCCAACTAAACTGTACAATTAACGGAAACTAGACTTCGAGTACCGAAAGCAAACAACAGATGTCGTCCGAAATTGTTCAAAAAAGTGTGGTTATGAGGGGTATTTTATTCAGGCTCGAGTATGGGAAAAATCGCATTGCAGATTAAAGCGGCCCTAGAAAACGTAGAAGAATTAAAAACAATCCATCCGGACTACGCGTTTATGTTAAAATTAAAGTGCACTGGCTGCGGCGAAGTTTCTGATAAATGGCACGACATCGTAGAGTCCCAAACCTTCCCCGGTAAGACTGGAAGATCGGAGAACAATTACATAGCAAAATGCAAAATGTGTGGGAGAGAAAATAGTCTGGATATCGTTAAGGGAAGCAACGGTAGTGCGTGAGCCCGTGTGATCTATAAAGGGCTATATTGTTGGCTTTTTAGCTTCCTACAGGGACTACGATCAAGGCAAGTTCAAATCGATAGTCGTTTTTGAATGCAGAGGCATCGAGCCCACTGAATTCACCCCCGGTGAAAGTTGGATAGTTAAAGTCAAGGAAAGCAGCAGAGTCTTCGATAACATAGATCTCTCTGAGAAGGAATGGGTCGAGTATGATGAAAAGATCCAACAACCTGTTGAAATTAGTGATATGGAATTCAGATTTACTAATGTGAAATGATTTTTTTATCGCCTTTGTAAAAATTTTTAAAATAAATTTGAAAAATGAACTGCAGTTTTTAGTTTCCAATCTAGGCCAACCTTGATACCACAGAGAAACAAAACAAAGAAATATTTATCAATAACATAATGTTTAAACAAACCGGTTTGTGACGTCACACGTTCCTATTAGGTTCTTTGACCCAGAAAAAATTAAATGCCTGTCGACGTAACAAAAATTTCTGGGAAGAACCTGATTGGTTGAAAATGATACCCCCTACCGTAACATGATGGCGATTCCCGCTCGATCTACATCGACTTCAGAGGGGAAGTGCGTGCCTATCTTCAGTTTTGTTTTGAGATGTCAGCTGTCTCAACAGGTGATCGCGTCATCTGAGATATTGTCGTGAATTTCTCAATGTTTTCACTGAAAATGTGTGGAAATTGATCCGAAATAAAACTCCAACATATAATTCTAGGTTTGTGTTGAACAATTCGTTGTGTTCGCGCCGTTTATCATGATTTTCTCATTGTTGTGATTGTACTTCTCATGAAGAGAAAGGTAGGCAATGCTTTATACATCACTTTCCTTTATCGGCCGAATTTACATAAAATATCTCTAAAATATTATTACAAATTGACAGTTGTTCCATTATTTTCAATGATTACTACTATAGAACCAATCTGTTGTTTGTTTTTCTCTTTAAGATGCTTTTTGTAGGGTTCGGTCTGAAGTTAGCGGCATTCATGCCTGATGAATTTTGCGCGCTCAAAATTTGACCATTCCATTCATTTGGCGGGATCGTGTAAGGGTGTTAGGGTATTTTTAGTTGGTTAGTGGTGGGACTACGTGGCCAAATTCGAGGTGCAGGTAGTTTTCGTGTAGACAAAGGTCCGAAAAATTGTTTGGAAACTAAAAATTATATTTTACATTGTATTTTAATTATTAAAACTCTCAGTGAAGTCTTCCTAACCAAAAACCGTGTGATAGCAGATTGGAGCTTTTTTTGCGGAAGACCTGAGGCGGTAAGTGCTGATCAATTGCTTAATTATTGTTGGTGGAACTTCGTAAATTCTTCTAAAATATTTTTCACCGCGTTTGCTTTGGTATTTTTGCCGGAATACGGCCGCGAACATAGGGGTTATGTGAAAGGCGAGGCGTGGTGCAGGCATCGATTTAAAGGCTCGGTAAACGAAAAATGGAGTAAATTCTTTGAGTTTTTATCGCTAATTGCGAACGTTTGGGCATCAGACGGTGGCCCAAAATAATTGTTTGCACCTGAAAGCGCAGTTCCAGTTTTTTATGGGGCCCCAAATGGCCCATTCACTATTTTTGGTAGTACTAAGCTCTATAGTGGCTGTATTCAAATTTTTGCTGAGTATTTGGTGTCAAGGATTTGAGTATGAGATGTAGCTTAATAGAATGCCAGAATAGAATAGATTTTTCATGAATGTTGATATAAGAAATAATTCATTATGCCAAATGTGTATTTGTTGTTCTCTTGTTCTCTGGCTAGCTACATAAATGAAGAAAATGGTAATGAGGTGTAGTAGTGTCACTAAAGGCAACCCTTTACTATTATTAGTTACCCTTCTAGGCCACTGTGGATGTACATCTGACCTCTTCATAATAAGGACCAATTCATATTCAATGAAAATGAGTGAGAGGACAAGTTGCCCTTCAGACTCAGAAAATACTGAGTTGCTGAACCGTCTAGAAGAAGAGAGCTATGCTGAAACGAACAAACTACCCTTCCAAGAACTGTTAAAGATGCATCACAAGCAAACTGTCTGGGGCTTTAAATATGGACAAAATATAAGAGCGAGTGCTTTGGCGAGGGACAAGAACATTCAGAGTTCATCTAGCACCAAGAAAGACACGAGTTCTGATGGTCAAATCGACGTCGAGAAATCAGACAGCGAGGGATTAGAACAAGGCCCTTCAACGTCTAAAATTTGTACCACAGAGAAAGAACACAAAACTCCACACTCGAGACGAGAGGCTCGTTCGGCCTCGAGCAGAACCAGCAAGAGGAAGAGCAGTACAAGGCAGAGCGATTTTGCTTCCCCGCAGAAGACACGCAGGGCGCCTTTACCACTGATGAACTGGGCGGACAGCAAAGAAGTCTGGATGTACATGGTTTGTGTCTAGCTTTTTAAGTATTTTAATTGCGTTTTTTTTTTATCGGTGCTTTACAAATTTTTGATTTTCATTTAGGTATACAAGGAAGAGGCCTCCCTAAACCTACGCAACCCCCGTCTGTTTGAAGATTTTACGAATTTCATGCCTCGCATGAGGGCGATTTTGTTAGACTGGGTGATGGAGGTGTGCGAGGTATACCACCTGCGAAGGGTCACCTACTACCTGACGGTAGATTACTTCGACAGATTTCTATCAATCAGGCCGGACGTGCCCAAAAATCAGCTCCAACTAGTGGGCGTCACCTGCCTATTTTTGGCCTCCAAATTGGAGGAAATCTACCCGCCCAGACTTACGGAATTCTCCTTTGTTTGCGACGGCGCCTGCACCCCGGAAGATATCCTGGCGTGCGAGCTATTAATCCTAAATAGTTTGGGGTGGGACTTGAACGTGATGACGCCCAGCGACTGGCTAAACTTGTATATGCAAATCCATTTTCAAGCGCCGAAAGTCGTACGTCAGAAACTGCACCAGGACAGTACCCGGAATTTTATATTCCCTCAGTACTCAGGCTACCAGTTCAGCAGAGCCTCCCAGTTGATAGACGTGTTCAGCCTCGATCCCGGCTTCCTGAAATTCTCGTATAGTACGATAGCGGCCGCCGCCATGTACTTCATGTATGGCAAGAAATCGGCCCTCAACGTGTCGGGATTGACGTGGGAACAGTTGCAGCCCTGCGCCGAGTACATGGCCGCGTTTTATTTGGTGCTGAGGGACACCACGGATCCGCGTTTGGTCAGTTGTAAAGTGGACTCGGTGCCCGAGGATCAGGGGGTCAAACATTTGGCCAGCGTCAGGCTCAAAGTGCCCCAGCTCGTAAAAGACGAGAACCACAGCCTGCAAACGCACGTCGTCAATCTGGAGTACTTCGAGAAGTCAGCGATTATAAGGTAATTGTTTTTCTGTTGCAGATAATATATATACTTTGCTTTATGATAGTAAGATCCAAAAAGGGTGTTAAAGTTATGGAGAAAAATGATTGAAACATTTTCAAAAATGCCTCGATAATATTTCGCGAAAAATTGAAATGATTTAAAAATTTTAAACTGGAGCGATGTCGCAGAAAGGCGTGGAAAAGACTGCTGGTAACGGGGGTGGGAGTCTTCTCTTTGTTTGATTACTTTACTTACTGTGAAATTGTGGATACGCCAATCAAAAAATATTTTCTTGAAATATTTGGAAATTGTGAAAATAACTTTAAAAAATTATTGGTAAAAAAATAGCAGTATTTACTTTCCAGGAGAGTTATATCAAAAAATGCGCATTTAACCGATAATTTTTATTTCACGAAAAAAGGGAAAAAATTAAACTCTGGGACAACCAAATAATAACTCGATGGAGTTATTTATTTGTAAAACTCAAACAAAAAAAAATTTTTACTGTAATCATATGTAACACAATAATTTACCATTTAAATATTTATCAAGCCAATATCTTCAATCATTCAAAAAATGAAAAGGGGTACTTGCTTTATACACTCGCTATATATGGCAAACGAATCTTTATTATGCTTTTAGTCGAAATTGCTGCCGTTTTGCCAATCATCCGGTTGGCTTCTTCGGAGCTTGACTGAAACTGAACTTGACAGTTCCAGTCAAGTTCTGAAGAAGCCAACCGGATGATTGGCGAAACGTCAGCAACTTCGACTAAGCAAAAACCGACGCAGGAGGAATCCAGAAGTTTTGTAAAAAGCACGAATCTTTATTGTTCCAAATATTAACTACCACTGGCGAAGTTAAAAGATTTTAAATGTCTCGGAAGTTTTTACTTTTATAATAATAATTCAATAAAATATAAACAATCAATAATAATTTTGTAGGTGCTTATGTTGGGTGTAAGAAAAAAATAGCGAATCTGATGCCTGCGTTATTTTGTTCTATTTTATTATATTCATTATTAAATCCAGATTATTTATTATAAAACGTAAAGTGATGTTTGGATAACAAGGCTAAAATAAACATTTTTTTTTGTTAAGGTACGTAAAATATCGCAACATTAATATTAATTGATTGATTGGTTGGACTAACCATATAGCTACTAAATACGTACAGGCCTTACCTATATAACAATTAGATAATATAATGGCCCTAGTAAGTAAGTAGTTGTAGTGTTTTCAAAAAGATAGGAATGATCCTTCATGCGTGCCTCTACATTTCACTGACTAACCTGCGCTTTGCGCCATTTTCTTTCTAAGCAACAATTTCCACATACTTCACTCCTTTTCCACTGAAAATTTAATGGAATTTAGACATATTTTGAGAAAATACAAACTTATTGACCATCTGTCAGTGGCCATGTTGGTTATGGAATGCGGCAAGTTCATTGGCTAAAAGCGAGATTTGAAATCTCGCGCACGCGCATGTTAACTCAACTTTCTCAAACTTCTTCTTTATAGTTGCTTCATAAGTTCCTGTATTATTAGCACACGCATATCTATATACTATATCGACTTACGCAACGAAGACTATAGTAACTCATTTTTGACGGTTTTTGAGCTATTATTATGCAGACCAACAACTTTTAGGACGAAAAGTATGGTATATTGCTATGGTATTTCTGGTTGCGTAACCTTTTCGTTTACACATACTATACTTTTTGTCATAAAAGTTGTTGGTATTTTTAAGTATATTCGCTGCATAATAGTAACTCAAAAACCGTCATAAATGAATTACTATAGTCTTCGCTGCATGAGTCGATATGACCAACTGTCAGTGGTCATTTTTTTTTTCATCGTATAAGTATGGAACTAACATATCATTATCACTATTTGCGATAGAATTCTATTTCAAACTGCCTACGGCCTCAAATACGTAAAAATCATATTTGTATTTCGGAACGCTGATTAAAAACCATTCATTTGTTTCCCTGTATAATCGCTGTGTTGTAACATTTTTGGTCAGTGTGTTTTAACTTTTTTTTTTCGTTCGACACGCTTTACCGGAGATCAACAGTAAGTACGCTTTAATTTTTTATTTTGATATGACGATTATTTATTTGCGCGACACCGAATAAACGGTGCTCATCTCGGCAGACGTGACCCTAAATCATATTTAATGTTTATTCAATAATTGAGGATAAAACCAGTAGCCAGAGTAATATCACAATGAAGTCACAGTGTTCCAACGTTTACATGTTATTTACATTTTTTGTTTTCCTTATTTTTGCCTTCACCGTTTGTAAAGAAGGTTTCGCATGAAATGCTTCCAAGAAGTTCATAAAAATAACTATATAGTCAAATATATCTTGATAGGGGAGATTAAATTATTTCTCTATAGCTACAGATAACTTGAAATCAGGGAGGTCAACATTTTGACATGTTTTCTTATGCCTCTGACTCTCTGAACAAGCAAGGTCAAGTTTATGTTATATACACTGACTTCACAAATCGATTGACCCGATAGATCATCACTTAGTCAAAAATTTGGTTTCTCTGATTAGATAATTTTAGTGTTGAGGCCCTATATGGTGCATCATCGACAGTTGGTTAAGATTGAGGGCTTTACATTAGCTCCTTTTGTTCCAACTTCTGGTGTGCCTCAGGGTTCGAACCTTGGACCACTTACGTTCAATATATTTATAGATTCAAGCTGCCTATGCAGATGACCTAAAACTATATCACTGCATGACTCTCCAGGCCAGCATCAATATTATCACTCAGTGGTGTACTAAAAATAAATTGCACCTTAATATCGACAAATGTAATATGGTTTATCACCGCACAAAAATACAGTCTTTAATTACAGTATGGATTGTGAAAAATCTGGGGATTTTATTTGACCAGACGTTCTCTTTTGTACCTCACATTACTAAAATGATTTCCAGCGCAATGCAAAGTTTAGGATTCGTAATAAGAAATTGTAGGCATTTTTTGTAGCTCAGCGTTATTTTACTGTTACATTAGGTGGCTCGGTGGTATGGTCACCAATATATAACTGCCATTCTCAGTCTGTTGAGACTATTGAGAGTGTACAGAGATTACTGAAGTATCTAATGTTCAAGACGGAGGGTCGTAATCTTCTACCGAGAAGATTCACTGTAATACCTCTGAGCTTACGCAGAGAAGTGCTATCGATATCATTTCTCTGCAAGAGTTCATTACGAAATCGATTGTCCGTTTCTTCTGGAATAATTATGTTTTCATGTGCCTCGGCTGGAAGGGAGGCATCAGTGAACTTTCTTACAGCTATTACCCATTTACAAACCCCTATTTAACAAATTATCATTGCACTTCAGGCGATACTACGGCAACTTCTTCTTACTTTTTTTAGTTATAAAATTCGTTTTTATGTTGTTCGTTTTTGTTATGTTTTTGTTATTTTGGATCGAACCACCCCATCGCCCAAAAAAATCTGTTGTAATAGGTCTGGCAGATAGGGCAATTATGCTGTCCGATCCTGAATTTAGAAAGGAAGCGTTAGAAAAAGCCAGGCGCGCACTTAAACAAAACTGCTACCCGCAAAATCTAGTAGACAAAATTTTAAAAAAAATCATAAATTCTACAACGGCCTTTAACATAACCACAAATTTCAAAACAATAAAACAAAATATATACCGTTACCATACATTGCAGGCCTATCCGAAACCATTCAAGGAATTCTAAAGGAACATGACGTCAAAATAGGTCATAAGGGTCAGAATTTGCAAAAACAATTTTTCTCTAAAATTAAAGCAAAAATACCAGATGAAAAAAGAAGTAACATAGTATATGAAATTCCATGTTCGGGTTGAGATAGTGTGTACATTGGACAAACGAGTCAGTATCTCAAAAATAGAATGATTGGGCACAAATTTGACAAAACCAACAAAACAGCTATTCATACACACTGTAGTGAAACTAAACATTCACTCGATTTTCAAAATGTAAAGATACTCTAAACTGAGCCTAATACTAAAAAAAGAGAACTCTACGAATCGACAGAAATTCAAAAAACCAAAAAATCCGTAAACTTTAAAACCGACACAAAAGGCCTTAGTAAAATTAACCATACAATTCTGATTCAAATATAAAATATAATCCAAAAATTAAATAAATAAGGGTGGCTGTTACAAAATTAAATCTAAAGTAAAAAAAGAAGTAAATAAATAACATCGTCGGGGGAAAAACGTACTTTCGTAATTCAGCTTCGCATGCCAAATTGATAACTCGGTCCGCACGATAGATTCGCAGACATGCGCATACAAATTATTATTGTCAATATTTACACCGTTTATATTTCTGTTTTACAATTTTATATCTACAGTTTTATTTCTACAATTTTAACTCGTGCCGTCGTATTTTGTATCTAAATGTTTTTGTTTCTACATCGATTTCAAAAGTAAGGTAAGTTTTATTGTTCTCGTTTTTGTTGCCTTGTATAAAACCCTGTCAGTTTTTTCAGATATTTTTGAAAAAGACCGAGAATACACCGGTCGAAACGTTAAATAATGAATTAGAAACTTTCTTCTTTTGTTTTACGTAACGGACCATAATATATACCCAAGAAAAATGCCTTGATTTTAACATATACAGAACGGTCCAAGAACACAAAAAAAAACCTTATATATTTTCACGTATTGATTCGTGACTGGAAAAATATGATGACAATATATTCCGGGATATCAATCATCCGTTCGCTTGTTGAACTCCGACTGTGTTCGAAGTGTTTTCGAAGCACGAGCATTGAAGATGCCAAGTGAGATCTTGGCGAAACGTCTGCAGGATTCCAGTCGGAGTTCAACAATTTTGGGGTTATATTTGGCAATCAGTTTTTTGACGATTTTAATTTCGTATATAGGTTGGAGCAGATGGGATTGAAAGTCGAACGCACATTCGTACCGAAAAAACAAAAAACTCCGGTTCCGAGCCCGGAGCGAGACGAGGTTAAGGAAAACCGACATCAGGACGACGAGCAAGAGGTAGAAACGGTGTGCATGTACGACATAGAAAAACTCACGTGCGACGCTGTCGCGCTCGACGATTCCGACCTCAGCATTTCGGCCGTCTCGTCGCCTGACGCGGACCTCATCTTGCAACAGACCAAGGGCGTTTTGAGTTTCGACGAGATCCTCGAGGGTCTAGTCAAGTGCAACCAGAGAAATATACCCGTACAATTACAAACGTCCAAAGATCTACTCGAAGACGCAATAAATAAATTAGAATGATTGTCCGGTCTGCGGATAGGCGTCGCTAGTGACTACCCACCGGTCGGTGTTTAGTTCTTGTAAGTCCCGTAGGTGGCGCGTTGTATATTTTTGTAAAAATTGTGATTTATTAGGTAATTTGGTGGTGTAAGTGAAATAGAAAACGGGCTCCCGGGAAAATGCCCATTTTCCCGGTCCGTATTCGAATCGATCTTCTTTTTATAATTTTTCAAACCGATTTTTTTACTTAAGACTGGATTAGGTAATTCTATATTAACATAATTTTATTTATTTACAGATTCAAGTAATTATTTGTGTTAATATATTTTTTCCGGTTTTTTTAAACCTAAACGTAATTTTTAACTCGTGATCTCAGAACTTTGCAAAAATGATTTTTGCACTTTTTTTCTTAAAAAAATGCCCTGTAGTTTCTCACGAAATTGTACTGTAAGTTAATTGTAGAGTGCCAGCAATGAAATTTGTTCTAACCAGTGACGTCATCGATCACAATTTCACCTGCTTTAAGAATCAATATGGCGACTTTTTAGAAATTCTAATTAGCTTCGGCCATTTAAAAGAAATTCGGAGCGTCAAAAAAATGCTAATAGTTGCCTTCGCCATGTGTGGGAAAATGAAACTGAATAAGAGTTGCTAGTTTTTCTTCCTAAATAAAATTCGGAAGTTTCCGTGATCTCAGAATTTTGCAAAAATGATTTTTGCACCTTTTTCCTAAAAATGCCCTGTAATTTCTCACGAAATTGTACTGTAAATTAATTGTAGAGTGACAGTAATGAAATTTATATTTTCGATGTTTTTTTTCCTTGTTTAATCAGTGACGTCATCGATCACAATTAACTTCGGCCATTTTAAAGAAAGTCGGAGCGTTAAAAAGATGCTAATAGTTGCCTTCGCCATGTGTTGGGAAAATGAAGCTGAGTACGAGTTGCTAGTTTTTCTTCCTAAATAAAATACGGAAGTTTCCGATGCGAATTTTTTATTCAGATTTTTCATGTTGTACATAACATAACAGAACATTTCAAAGGTTTTAAGGCACGCGTGTTTTACATGTTACAATACTATCTCGAGTCTTTTTTGGAGCTTCATTATACAAATATTACAAAAAACATATGAAAACCATTTTTGTTTTACAGTTTTTACACGTATGATCCTAATTAGTAGTAGCAGCAGTGTAGACTTTAATATATATTTTTTAAATGCACGATTTTTGCGGGTCGTTCGGAACGCCATGGGCGGGCTTACGCGTTTGGCACTCCTGGGGGGGGGGGGGGGTTATTTATTAAAATTTTGCGCGTTCCAAACTACTTTACTGTAACACATAAAACCTAAAGGTGCTGATACGCGACCCGGACAACTAAAAAAAAAACAACGCAACAGATAATATCACTGTTTCACCGCTCGACCGATATATGATATACCTATAATAAAATATTCTCTTCTCGCAATAAATAAAATATATGTTAAAAAAAAATTGAAACAAAATAAAAATAATAAATTCTGCTTTAGCGGAGATAATTTCAATTGTTTTGGGCAAACGGAACGGGTGCTTCTCATCCTAAATTAAACCGAGTAGTTCAAACGTACCGAAAACAATGAGGCAAACAAAAACTACCACCTTCGAAATGTGGTAGGATTAATTATGTACAGTGAAGAACAGTATGTATTATAAGGACTGCTGCGACGGGACGAGCTTCTTCAGTGGTTGCGGCGATATCTGCAACGGGAAAAATAACGAACGATAAGAAAACATATCCTGTGAAATGTGAACTTATACTTAGTTCAGTAACAATATAAAAAACTAACTTTCGTTGTCATTATACTTAAATAAGTCTCCGCAAATTTATCTAGATTAGATTTTGAATTTGGATAATTTGATTTATTAAATCCAAAGGTTTTTTTAAAGTTAACCAAAATTCAATTTTTTCCTAATTCTCCCATTTTTTCAATTTCTCCCATTTTTTTCAATTTCTATGGAAACTCATTAAAAGAGACGAACTGAAGACGACTGATGAAAATTGCTAACTCTTAATCTTGCAAAATTGGATTTGGCTTTACATTATTACCCCGAGAAAACTCGATATACGAGGTGTGTTCAAAAAATGTGTAGGTAAAGTAAGTAATTGGTCGGGCTACGTACATTCGATCTTCCATATTTTTTTTTGTTGTGTTGGTACATATGTTCACAGTGTTAGCCAGTTCGCATGTTTACTTTTTTGTGAGATAGAAGCGTTAGACGTGTTTTGTGTGCTCGGCTTATGCTAAGTGATACAAGCTGTTCCTATATGGCCGAGAAGACGGAATGGTGTTGAAAATTCGCCGAATCACTATTAGAGAATCGGCTGAAGACGTCGGATGGCTGGTGCGATGCAATTTTTTCATGCAGTTTTGGGCATGAAACGTGTAGCAGCAAAAATTGTTTCGAAACTGCTTAACTCTGAACAAAAGGGCTGTCGAAGGAGCATCGCTCAATAGCTGTTAAATGACGTCAATGATAATTCTGATATGGTCAAGAAAGTCATAACTGGTGACGAATCCTGGTTATATGGTTATGACGTTGAAACCAAAGCCAAGTCGCCTCAATGGAAGAACCAAGACCGAAAAAAACAAGTTATGCGGATTTTGCATCCCGAGAATGCTTTGTCATCGTTGCTTGTGCCCAACTTTTTGGCCAAAAAAAAAAATGCAATCATGCGTTAGCCACGACATTCACCGGATATGGCCCCCCGCGACTTTTCTTTTTTCTGTTCCCAAAACTCAAGAAACCCATGCAAGGAAGGAGGTTTGGAACGATTGAGGAGATAAAGAAAAAATCGCTAGAAGAACTCAAGTCTATACCAGAAGTGATTCGAGAATTTGAAAAAACATTGGCACAAGTGTATTATATCTGGGGGGATTACTTTAAAGGGGAAATTAATTTTGGTGAATAGATAAATCCGTTTTGATAAAGCAAGTCACCTTACTTTTTGAAAACACCTCGTATGTGGCTTTTGTTAAAAAGTTCCGACGAAGAAGTATTTTACATAATGGAAATATTTTTCTTATTAAAAAATATATGGCAAAAATTTTTAAAATCGCAAACTTTTTAAGCTTCTCTGGTAGCTCGGAAACTACAGAGGCAGTTCAAAAAATATTGTGAACACCTGTCGCATAAAATTAATTGAATTCGCTTTTCGATTTCACAGGAAATAACCTCCACTTTATTTTTTGAACACACCTCGTATAATATGGCAGAAAATAATAAACGACCACTTTAGAAAATATTACTTCCACGTAAAATGGACAAATAAATATCATCAACGATCAACGTGTTCTATATTTTATTAAAAAAAATAATCTACCCTAATAAATTCAACATCGGTCAGCAAGAGCCGTTCTTGAGGTGTTAAGAATACAATTTATATTTGGGATTTTTAAATATTTAGAAAAAAAAGTATATGGAAGAAAATGAGTACTTGCACTCTTTTAAACGGGACGAATTCAAATGAGGCGCTACCTTCTAGTGCTCAAAAAGGTTGAACGAGAATGTTTTTGTCTGTAAAGAAAATACGAAAACCAAGATTATTGATTGTCCGTCAAACTTTTGAAAGTACCAAAAACAACTTTCAGTTTTTAACGCGAAATTATTACAGAGTGGTCATAATATTCGCCCTTCCGTTAAAATATTTTCATAATAGCGAACCATAAATCAAAGAATATTAAAATATTCCTTAAAACCCCTGACCATAAACTCAATTTGACAACGACGCCCTAATAGTGCGCATTGTTGTGTGAGTCTAACCTAACCTAACCGCTTACCCGATCAACGTCCGCCTTCGGCGACATCTTCTCGGTATCAGAGTGGCGGTGCACGGCCGCAGTCGTACTGTACGTCTCTCTCCTCCGTTCCACTTCCTCCTGTTTCAGTCCCTCCACCCGAAGGCAGCTCAGTACCGGCGACGCGTTGATGTTGCCACCTCCACCGCCGCCGGTGGAGTTTATGTATATGCTGGTGGTGTAGACGGGCGGCCTCTTGGGGTTGCAATCGGACGGCGAACGGCTCAGATTCAAGCTCAACGTCGGCGAGTTCCTCAGGTTCTCCGCCACCTTGATCTCGAGCGACTTCCGGCTGCTGTAGAGGGCGTTCTGGCTGTTACGTAACGCGACCTCGTCTTTTCTCGGCTCCGCCTCCTTGTCAGACGCGACCGACTCGATGATTTTCGGCTCCTCCTTAACCGTAACCGACTTTTCCGGTTTGACGGGTTTTGGAGGTAGGAAACGCGGCATCCTCGTTACCCAGTGGTCGTTACCGGAACCCACCGAGCTGGTACTCGCCGCCGAGCTATTGTTGGAGCTCGAGCTCGCGTAGATCCCGTTCCGCCGCTGGTAGAACAGGATGTACGCGCTGTTGTTGACCAGTAGCGGGCTGACGTCGTTCGCGTCCCTACTCAAGTTAAGGACCTTGGAATCGTCGTACAGATACCAGTTGTTGTCGTACGGGTTCTTGCAAGCGGCGGTGTAATGGCCGGTCTCCAGGTCGGTGCCGTGGTGGTAGCACACCGCGTAGAGGTCGTACATGTTGTCGTTTGACTGGGACTGTTTGCGCGTCCGTTTCCACGGTGACCAGCCGTTGTTGATGATGACGTCGCCGTCCTGCAGGTGGGCGGGGTTCCGTTTGCTCGCCAGGTGGGGCGACATGTCGAAGTTGTACACCGGGAAGTCGACCATCGTAGTCAGTTTGGTCGAGTTCCCCCCACGAGCGCTCTGCCTGTTATCACACGTTTTAAATGATTTTCAAAAGAAAATGAAGTTATTTTAACTACTACTCACTGCCTGAATCGTTTAAAGTGGACGATCAAGATGTCCGGCAAAGACCACACGTCCAACGTCTTCACCACCGGCTGGTACTGGCGGCAATGCGAACACCTCCACGTGTCGGTCAAAGTTTCCGCGCCCGTGTAATCTCTCAGGCACTCCTCGAGCGTGAGCGGGGCGCCGCCCTGCAACGCTTGCGCCCGTAGATTTTTCACGCTCGAGTGCTCCTCGACGGCGTCGCAATCGTCGGCTATGACGATCGCCTTCGAGTCGATCGTCCACTCGAGTATCAGCTTCAGATGTTGCGGACTGCCGTCTTCGCTGCAGAGGGCCAACGATTGGTCCACGGCCTCCATGAACAACGGATGCTCCAGGTCCGGCTCCAGGTAGGACGGCGGCTCGTTATCGTTCCAAGCCGAGTCGAATATACGAATTTTGAATATCTGCCGGTGATGGGAGTGACGGGGACATGTTAGTATTGTTACTAGTATTGCAATTGTTATTAATACAAATAACGTAACGTGTATAAAATTTTACGGCGTTATTTAAAACAAACTGAAAAAATTAAAAAAAAAATTAGAACTTTGGAACCATTTAGAACTTTTTTACAAATTTATTAATCGATTCCAAATTCCAGCCTGCAATTATATCCATTAAATTTGGATGAAATCAGAGGACTCTTGCATAGAGACGAAATACTCCATGTGTAAAATCAATAGTTTTTGAAATATACCGGTTTAAAAATTTACCGTAATAATAAGATATTTTAATTTTATGAAAAACTAAAGTAGGCCAAAGCGCAATTCAATAAAATATCAAAAACAAAGTTTGTCGTGATTTTAAAAAACAGTTCGACTTACAAGAATGGAACCTTCACCGTCCAAGCCTAATTTGTTATCATACATCCGATTATGATAAACTCAACATCCATAACCTCTTGCGAAATTGAAAATAAGATACCCCTTTTTCGTTGTTAATAATCCTTTTGAACGAAAATCAATAAAATAGTACAAAAGAAAAATAAGGAGCAAGTAGATTTTCAATAAAACGCAACCTAAAATAGCGTATGATCGGCGATATAGTGACAGAATATCGCCCAGTTCCTCTTACTTTCCATGACCAATTCAGCAATTTTGAAATCTTCACGAAAATGAAAATGAATAGACAGAGTACAAGTAAATTATTAAGTTATTTAGAATTGGTTGGCGAGTCTAAAAAGTTAACAATTTACAAAATAACAAATTAGAGGTTATTTCCGGTGAAATCGGAAACCGAAATCAATTAATTTTATACTATAGAAGTTCACAATGTTCGATTTTATCTCAAGGCATTTTTAAATGCCGCCGTGGACAGTACTTTCGTTGTCACGCGGAATATACCGTGTGTCCCCTTTTGATGTGCCCTTATGGGATAGTAAGATGCCATTTTCCACTACCAACATAGTCTACTCAGAATTTTAAAGTGCCTGTGTAGTTTCTGAGCTACGAGAGAAATTTGAAAAGTAAAATACTTCTTCGTCAGAACTTTTTAACAAAAAACATATACGAGGTATGTTCAAAAAATAACGTGACTTGTTTTATCAAAACGGATTTATGTATTCACCAAAATTAATATTGTCCCCTTCAAAGTAAACCCCCCAGATAAAATACACTTGTTCCGACGCTTTTTCCAATCCTCGAAGCACTGTCTGGTATAGCCTTGAGTTCTTCAAGCGATTTTATCTTTATCTCTTCAATAATCCCAAACCTCCTTCCTTTAATGCGTTTCTTAAGTTTGGGGAAAAGGAAAAAGTGGCGGGGACCATAACCGGTCAATATGATGGCTGAGGCATAATTCTAGTTTTGTTTAGTTAGACACAAGCAACGATGTACGACCTTGTGGTAAGAACCCTTGTACTACGCCACGATAATCAAAGCAAGCCGTAAGCAAAACCTTGAGATTTGATCGAACTTGACGCACTTTTTTCGGTCTTAGCGATTCTGGGTTCTTCCAGTGGGACGATTGAGCTTTAGTTTCGGCATCAGTGATATGACCTTTTGAGTATATCCGGATCATCAATGACGTCGTTTAACAGCTCTTGAGGGATTCTCCTTCGACGGCCAGTTTCATACCCAAAACTTCGGAAAAAATTGCATGGCAATAAACATGCCACTTCTCTATTGGTGATTCGATGATTTTTCAACACCATTGGTTTCACTTCTTCAATAGTTGGTACCACTTGGTACTTGGTTGGTACTTCTTGCTAAAAGCAGATTCGGCATATGGTGAATCTACTTTGAACAAACTGTCCACACTTCAAGTGTTTTACAGCACTGTATTCCATTTCTGTACACAAAATTTCAGCAAATTCTTTCTTCCATTTTTCCCGATTGCAGAAAATTGCCGAGCACACAAAACACGTCTAACACTTCTGTCTCACAAAAATAAGTAAACCTGCAAACTGGCTGAAACTGTAAACATATGTTAGGGACTTGTGTACCAAAGTAACATAAAATGAATGTACGTGGCCGGTCCAATTACAAAAGTCACCTTACTTTTTGAACGCACCACGTATTAAAAATTTGATTTGGAAGTATTACTTTTTCAGGATCAACAGGATCGGAATGTTAAATAAGGGCCTAATATTCTTTTTGCACAATTTATATCCGTTTTAAGTGTTTCCTAGAATAGTTCAATTCGAATGTTATAGTAAAATTATTGTTTCGATGTTTTCAACTTACGGTTATCAGGATGAATAGCAAAATTAGGATTCCAAAGGTTATAAAAATAGAGTAACTAAAAATTAAGCCACGTAAGGTTCTGAAGGTAAAAGTAAAACTACTTACACAACATAATGATATCTTGTGACAGTACATTAATATAATTCGTAATGAATAATTTTATTAAAAGGATATCAGAAAACGAAGACGGTCCTGAAAAAACAAAGCTTTAGTTTTAAATTTTCCCTCGTAGTTCAGAAACTACAAGCGCTACTAAACTAAAAATGGCAGTATGAATAATGTAACGGAATTTCCTATATAAAATAGGTAAAAGCATTAAAAGGAAATCTTTTTGTGACTCAAAAACCTAATAAACAACTTTAACCTACAAAGAGCGCTTAAACACTCACCCCCCTAGTTTGGGATGCCGTCAAAATGTCGTCGTGCAAGATGGGCGCCATCTCCTTCAACAACAGCTTCTGCAGGTCGTCGTAATCCGTCTCCCGCGACACCTGCATGGTGTAAGGGCTGCCGAAACGTTGCATTTCTCCGCCCACCATCACGGCGTTGATCCAACAGAGCAACACGTAGGGGCTGGTGATGTCCTCCTGCCTCTCCTTCAGCTGGGCGGTTTCGATGCAGTACACGGGATCGATTTCCGATATCACATTGATCGACTGGTTGTCGTTAAAGGTCCTCATGAACCCCGTTTCCCCAATTTCGGTCAGCAGCATGTTCTCCTTCTCTATCGAGGTGTCCGACTGGAGTATCTCTCTCAGCTCGCCCACGCTAGCCGCGGACGGCAAGCTGAGCCCGATCTGCACTTGACGAGGCTGCTGAGACGTGTAGACCACCGTGACGTAGACGCTCTGCTTGTGGAACTGGGGCAGTTGCACCGATATGCACTGGAACGGGTCGAAGGTGTTCGATTGGGTGCGGCACCGGGAGCAGCTCAACGAGGACCGGTACTGAGCTTGGAATATGCCTTGGATGAACGAGTTGTTGCACCGCTTGTAGTTCTCCAACGTTTCGGCGGCTATCACCTCGTCCGGTCGGCCCGCGGTCTACATAAAAAAATGGGATTCAAACGATATACAAACAAAATGTACGTCAACCGACCGTTAGTCTTATCTATGACCCTAAACATACCGCAGCAGACGAAAAATAGCGGCCTGGGCGCGTATTGCCGGTATTGGTGGTCACGTGACCCTAATAGATCCAGGATTGGAATAGGCAGCATTGCAATAAAATGGTTTCCTAAAGATTTCCTTTAATATTAATTATCTAGAAGTATTTGGAAACTTATTTTAGAGTCAGGTATTATTTATTGTATTAGTATCAATTGTTTTAAACATATTTTTAAGATCTACAGTTATTACAAGCTTTTATTTAACATGCAATGGTAGGTGTTATTGACGTCCAATCTTACAATCGATTTTAAAGAAACTTATCTCCCGGTGACGGAACCTTTTTGGAATTTTCAAAGGTTTTTTGTGTCTCTAAGCTTGCTTTTATCGCTGCCTCCATTTGCTCCGCTTCGACATCAGCTAAACGAACAACATTGGGCTGTGTTTGGGTCAAGTCTCTTTGGGGCATTCTCAAAAATAGTTGGCACAACACTTTCCGCTAATTTTGGCCTCTCACGAGCATATTCTTTGTATTCTCCTTTAACTAGGCACTTGTCAATCCAAAAAACATCTTTCTCTGCAAAATGTTTTATGCATTTTATGTTTCTTTAATTGGCGAATATCATTAGGTATCTTTCTTAACCAAACTTCTTTTTGATTCGGGTCAGATGGTAAACTGAAATTGGAGACGGGTCCCATTTCTTCGGACTTTGACGGACACCCAAAAACACAACAACATCGCGGCATGTTTGCACTGTTCTTTGCACTTTCTGGTACTTGGTTTTTACACAAATGACCACGGGTTTTCTCAAACATTTTAGAAGTTTATAATACGGCGGTATAACCTACAAACACCGATATCCAAAGACACAACTTCGCGGGCAGTATACTACGAATCCACACGGGTTTTTAAAACATTCCAGTTATTACTGACACAAAAGAAAACAATAAAAAAACTGAGTTTTAAACAATTTAATACGACGGTAACCTACATAAAAATACGCGTATTGCCGGACCGCAACTGGACTGACTGAAATTGCTGGATCTATTAGAGTCACGTGACTGTCGCGCGGCAGGGCAGGTCTTTTTCATCGGCTGCGAAACATACGCCCAAAGGACTGACGTCTCCTAAACGGTTTTATCACTTTTTCTTGGACTTTGTTTTTAGTCAAATGGGTTTTGGGTTGTCAAGAATGCATTTAGAGACCCATTTTATTAGTAATAAGAATGCCAACGAAATCGGAGGGCCCATTCACATCTTGGGTTGTGAGCGGACTAGATGCAGCAGTGTAGTTCCCGAACTAGTTTGAAAAATGGAGTGGAAACCCATATCCGAACCCGGAAAGATTGTGGCCATGTTTTTTTTTTGTCGGAATTTATTTCGCGTTTAGTTAATGTTGCATACACTTAGAGCTCCCTTTCCATTACTAATTCGCTAAAAGCAGCGTGTGTGATAGAAGAAACCGTAAATACAAAAATTATAACTTTCGAAGCTGCTTACAGTACTGTATAAACCACAAAGCCACATTTTTCGGGAATTTTGCTTAATGAGTAATAATTTACTCTCAAGAAAAATTTCCATTGTCTTTTACATTTTTGTCTATAATTGAAAAACCCTGTATATAATCGAAAAAATGTTTGAAATAAAGGTTATAGTCCTAGATCTCCCGCGTCCACTAATTCAGGACTTTTGCCGATCGGGTTAATGGGTTTCAAGAAAACAACCAAGCAGAAACTACCCAAAAAAAATCAAAAATTTACTTCGCGTTCGTTCGATTTGGACAGTTTTAAATCTGACGTCCATAGCTGCAAATTTAAGGCACCTACTACGTTTTTCAATATTGCACGGAATATCGGGAAAACCCTGTACAATAGGTGAAACAAACAAATTGACAACTGAAACAGAGTCTTCTAGTTATGGCCAAATGTTCATTAAAAGAGGAACCCAATTTTCAAATTTTTTGCGAATATCGGGCACAATTTTGAAATTTGTCTAAAATAAAAAGTATGTAGCACTAAATCTCGCTGATCTTCCTGTTCAATAATTTTTTGATGACTTAACCGGTTTTTTCTTTTTCTCGAAAACCTGCAAAATGGGGTTTTTATTTTTTTTTGACACCGATTTTGACACGGAGACAACTCATGGCATTTGTGAAAACGAAATTTCAAAATAGCCTATTTTTTTTAATATTTTCAATTTAATTTTTTTTTAATTATTTTCAAAATCAGTCAAAATCCAACCGAATTATTATGACATTAAAAAACATAAAAGTCTTACACAATCACGCATCATTTTGGTTGGCCGCAAATCGATAAGTAAAAATAGATTTTCAAATGTTTGATTTTTCGTCTGCAGGAAGAGACAGAAACTTCGTCGTTAAGTCAAAGTCAAATTTCCATGGTTTTTCTATGATTAATAGCAGAACTCTAAAATCTGCAGTTATCAGATCGTTGCTTCAGTGCGGAACAGTTTGTTCATTACTGTATGCATTATTTTTATTATGTACGTTATGTTAACATTTATTTTGATGAATAAACATTATTATTATTATACAGTTATTTCATATTTCAAAAAATTGGGACAAAAATATTGTTAAAAAAAAGATGTCACATTCATCCGTTTTTTGATGTAAAAAAATTTCAAAGATGCAGCGTTTAGAAAAGGAAAGGATACTTTCAGTCTAAATCGATATGGAGGCGGATTAGCAGAAATATTTGATGTGTTTTCATTTTTGTTGAGTTTTATTTTTCAGTTTTTTTCCGCAAAAACTATTGGGTGCATAAAATATTTATTTAAGATACAAAAGCGGGATAGGTAATCTCTCTTTTTCGCCCGATTCGCAAAATCGACGACCTTGATCTTAAAACTGCGACAGACTACAATACAAAACAAATGCCGGCGTTGCCCGACGAGACGACCGTCAGCCTATCTCGATTCCCGTCAATGTTCCGAGTCCACTGGATTTTGGGCGCCGCTTGGCAACGCCGCGACCTTGCGCCTGCATTAGGTACGTCTATAATTAATTTCTGGTTGTTTTCAAGGTAATTACGCGAGTGTGTGTGTGGAATTGTAAATCAGGAGCGTTTAAAATTAAGCCGTCGGTAACGCGTAAGCGACGAAAAACGTCCAATGTCCAATTATTGGGTGGTTTATCCCGACCTACGTTTCTCAATAAATTGCAAAGCCAATTTTCTCGGCACAAACAAAACAACGAATTAAATCGTAAATGGAGCAGATCGTTATGAAGAAAAAATAGATATGTACCCAATTAGTCACGCGAATGGAATGCAATGTGATCGCTCATTTACACACACATACAATCTGACAGTAGGTTATCGCGTATGGCAATTGTTGAATAGCCAGCCTCGATTTCTACGCCTCGTTTTCACCCAAGTTCAATTAAATTTACGATGACGTCGTTAAAGCGCCCATTCTCGTAACGTAAACACACGGCGGCAATAATTAATAACCCGATAACGAAAAAAAAAAAATGAAACGAGATGCTATTGTCGCGGAAAATTTTCTAAACGGAATTACAGTTGGCAAGCGAAAAACAAAACCGGATCAAGCGGGCCGCGGAAACCCGTGCCCGTCGCAGTAGGTCGCGCATACGGCACAAGGGCAAATGTTCTTATTTTGGGACTATATTTATATTTGGCTTTTTGGGCGGGCCCGTAGGAACCCTAAAATTTGACACAAACTACTCCCGTAAACAAACGATTTCTTTCAAACGCGATATCTAAAACTTATAAAGGGAAATCAAATAGAATTTTAATCACCTTGGCCGCGGGCGGTCGTAAATTTCAACTCTTTTATTGGCGGAACATAATTAAAAATGCCCCTTGGAAAATTTAGTACTAAATCAAATTTCTCATGGCACAAAAACTTTCTAGCTGGCAAAATAGAACTAGGTTAAGATATAGGCATTTTTCCATAACGTTTGGACTTTGATCCATTGGCGTTTATGACTCGGACTACAAACATTCCGAACGCATTTCACAGATAAAGCAAATACACTGCAAGAAATCACTGAAGCATATTTTTGTAAGGAGACCCACCTTTATCGACTTGTATTTCTTCTTCGAAGCCGTATTCAAGTCTTCGTGCACCTTATCGAGCAGCCACTGCAAGAATTCCAACGCGTCGTGCTGTTGGGTGCCCTTGTATTGCAACGAGTGTCTACCGACGACGTGTTTGAAGCTCAATGTGATCTCGGGGCTGTATTGACAAGCCCACAACGCTTTGAGCACGCGAGCCAACTGTTCGGTGACCTCGCCCCTGGTCCCGAACTTTTTCGAGTTTAATTTGTTCCGGCGCGACAAATCGATTTTGTATTTATCGAGAACAAAGTATTCGGCCAGCACGTCCGTGTGCGAGATGCACTGCAACACCGCGTTTATGAAACAAGTGTTGCCGTGGTTGTCTAGACCCGTCACGCCGGGGATATCGTCCGGACCCCACGTTTGGAACCCCACGGGCGGTACCCGGATATTATCCAAGTTTTGGTTGATTCCTGGTACAGGCCCGATATGCTGCGCGATTTTGTTAATGAATTTTCGTATCGACGGCCGCCTGAAAACAATCTTTCGTTAATAACGTTGGCCCCAATCACCCGCGTCACTAGACTCCCGTACCTAAACACTCGTCTGTTGTTCTTTTCGACATCGCCGTTGACGATAATCTCGGTAACGTTATTTTCCAACGTTTTGATTCTCCTTTTCGAGGACCGGACGGAATTAAAGGGGTTCCTGGGCAGTGTAAACGTCCTTTTCAACACAGAAGGCTCGTTGGTCTCGAGGGTCATTTCGTCGCAGTTTAATAGCTCACCGTCCGATTTCGATTTCGAGAATGCAATATCACACATAATAAACAACTACATCATATCCGGGGCTTCATTATCGTTGATGAATGGAGAAAATGCAAATTCGCTCCCGACAAACGCAACACTAACCAACACTGACACGGACGTCAGCCATTTGTCAAAAGAATGTAGGTTCGACGGCGTTGCCACCGCTACGGGCGAAAAGGTTTCATTATGATCAGAAACCAAGTTAACAATCAATTGACTCTTGCTTTCGATTTCGTTGTGTTAGTGTCATTTGTACATCCGCTTCCGCGTTTCTATACCGCGGCGAAGTTCGGGTCAAAATTGCCAAGTGACAACACTGGTTGGAAAGTGCATACTTAGGCAACCAAGCTTGCTTCAATTGAGTGAAACTGAAAGCACTGGAAGCTATACCAAGCGTCGCTACGCTTTGCTATAATGGCGTCAGCTTCATTGTTGCTTGCTAAAATGAAGTAACTGTGTGGATAACGGTTAAATTATTAAAAAATACAAAACTAATCGACCTTTAGTAAGAAAGAGTAATAACCCGTCATTAAACTAACCGAACGACTTTTTTAAAATAAATAGAAAAATCAACAATTCATTTTTTAAATTTATAGGAGTGTACGACTGGTTGCATAAATCAGATGCATTATTGACTTTTCGAAGCGCCATCTGGACGCGGCCCAGTTCAAACTCCGTTCAGTTTCGCTCCGTGGTTTCCGTGTGTGGGTGTATGTGTGTGTTTCTGTTGAGTTTGTTGGATATTTGACTTGTTTGCAGGTAAAAAATTGATATAAGCATGGAAAAAGAGTGCTGTTTGACCGCGACGTCGGTCTGCGGGTCGCCAGGGCGCCACTTTAATTTATAAATCGGGTTTTTTCGGGGGTAGATCTGGCATATAGGAGTGATTCACGTTTCTCCGAAAGCATAGGTCCTTATGTCAATAGGGGAAGTTATCAAAATTTGATTAATCTTTGGACGTTTTCGTATACGTTTCGACTCTTCAACATTCTGCGTAAAAATGTTAAAATGAAAAGGTCTACGGTCCCGGAGAGGTTTTACTTGTTTATACACTTAATGAACTTTAGATTACCCAAATTTTCAATAATTAAATGTTTATTCGATGTTGCTACTTCGTGTCACCGTGGGTACGATGGCAAATAATTGCATTTAGACCGTTGAAAAATGAATTTTCTTTGGGACTAATTTTCCAAACTGTTTCATATTGAATTTATTCGGTTCAAACCCAATTGGTGGTTTGATTTTAGTAGACGTAAGGTTCAATTGAAAAATTGCTTTAGTTCTGTCGTTGCGGTCGTTAAGTTTTTATTAGGTCTGTAGGGCAATTGGTGCAATCATCAAACCAACGATCTGTTTTATCGAATTAAAAATTTACTCAATTTTTAAATCAAATTATAAAATCGCCTTTTGTACGATACTCTCATTCGATCTCGTCCATTTTGCGCCCGAGAGCTCTCGTTTTCCGGTTTGGTAAGAATATATTTGCATGTAATTCTGTGTATTATTTTCGCATTAGCGTCAAAAAGCGTGAAAATGTCAACGTTTTTCAATTTAAGACCTTGTAGAATAGTGCGACCTAGCTCGAGGATTACCTTTTTTTTTGAAAGGGCGCGCCCTGAAAATTGTGTCGCTATGAATTATCGACGGTCCATTTAACATAAAACGATCTAATTTGCGCCTTTGCTCGGTGAAGTGTATTTGTGTTGTAAATTGCGCTCATGAATAGGCCGCGTTTTCAGGCAAATATATACGACATCCTTTCTAACCCATCGCTGGATGACGTGATTTTTTTCGTGTGGCCTAACTGTTTGTTCCCGGTTGGAAGGTACGCGGTTTTAATAGACAAATAGACGCTTCCGGTCGTTAGGCCACAAAGAAATCTAACGACGTAAAGAACGGTCGATTTGATAGTAACCTCTTGAAATTGTAAACAACGTAGAGAACGGATAAGCTGTCCATTATTCAGATGTTTTTAACTACTTCAAAAACAAAAACCATAGCAATTAAATCGAGGCAGTAATCTCGGGCCACAAAACACTTGGAGAATAAAGGCATTCCACTTTTTTTTTTTTTTGTCAAATTTACGTTAAATACACAAGCGGCAATCTTAGTGTGCACTATAGAACATGTGACGGTAAGTTTTGGTTGGTCAGCAACCACAGAAAACAAAATCGGTGGACGTTACCGCTTTGCCGGTAAGAATGTCATTTGCTGATGTAACATATATATCTATATTCCAATTTTTCCAATTTTTGGGTGATAGGCACAAGACAAGCTAATATTATGTTAGGTATATATATTAATTTTTGTGTTGGTTGACTTGAAATTTTTTTATGATGGCGATATTTGGGAGATAACACTTTCACCTTCTATGTGGAACCACTAGACTTGCGATGAAGGAGAGCGGTTGTCTCATAAGAGGCCTAAGTACTGTAGTGCAAATCACCAAGTATCCTTCACGTACAGAATAATAATATTTAAATTTTGTTATAAGCAATTCATTTTTTTTCCTGGAATTGTAATTTTTTGATAAGCTTGTTGATTTTTTCTAAACAGTAAGCTGAATATAAGATTGGAATTGATTTCCTTATCGCAAGGTTATCTAGTTGATTTTCCTTTATTTTTTCTAGTATCCCGTAGCTTTAACAAAAGTGAAACTAAATAGTTTTCGGTATAACATTTATACATTCAATAGTGATCTTTCGCGATTTCGACTGTATTTACATTTTTTATCGAGGTTACTAAAACAAACGCATTTAGTCGTTTTTCACACATAAATTCTAATTTGCCTAATTTACAAGGAATACATGTAGAAACGGGGAATTTGCACATTTTTTTATTTCTTTAATATATTTGTTTATGTATAGAAATAACTCACACCAACTATCAACATTTAGAACCCAATATTTAAGTTGCAATAAATAATTCAAGTTGTGACACCTGGCTATTCCTTTTAAATGATCGTGACGTCATACCGCTGCTTTTCGACCGATACGGTGACATGTTATAGTGTTATTCTCAGGTTATTCAGAGGGAATTATATTATTTACCGTTTATATTATTACCCGTTTGTATTTGTGCTTAGTGATCTTTAAATGATAATAATGGAAGCAACACAAGAACAATATTACAAATCGTGTCATCATGTTTGAGTACAACCGTAAAACGCCAGACAAACTTTTTATTCGATTACCAGAAAATAAAAGTCGTTTTTTGTTAACATTATGTTCAGCCTTAACCGTGAAAACATTTTTAACTCTTTCAACTTGCACCCATTCTACAAAATACAGAACACTTTAAGTTATCAATGCCAATATACTTTAAAATCAGTATTTAGGTTTCCATTAGTTGAAAAAAATCCTTTTGTTTTTTGAATTTTAAAAACTAGAAAACTCTAAGCTGATTAGCTTAGCTTTAACACCGTGAACCTCAGCAAAAGAAAAACTTTCGATGTTTTATATATAAGATGTCCCCATAAATATATCCACTGAAAGTAAATTATCAGATTGGCCTTTTAAAAAACCGGCTTCGGTCATTTTCGAAACTTTGTTTTTGATACTAAACACAAGATTACAAAAGCAAGACCAAGGCGGTTTCGTTCTCTAATGGGTTCTATATGCTACTGTCTGGCTGCCGCGTAATCCTACGAGCGAATTGATGTCACAACCTGCTGTCACATTCAATGACAACGCGTTTTTGTTTCAAGTATGGTGTCTACCGGGTTTAAGTTTTTCTTTTTTCAAAAGTAGATTAGTAGATATTTTTTTCGTCATATGTAAAACATATTTTATTATTTTTTTTTATTTATTTAATTAAATTATATCATATTATGTATTCAATGGAATTCGTACGTTATATCGATTCCGAAAATGCTTAAGAAATTATTTTCCACTGATATATGTACACATATGCGACAATTTTCATATAATCGGGTGTTTCAAAACGAATGGGCCATAGATAATCAGTATTCCATATGTCAAAGTCAAAATTTACGGAGGTACAGGCTGATAAAAGTAATTTGGTTTTGTCGTTTTTACGTTCGCAAGTATGAGTAAGTAGATTGTGTATTTAGTGCTGCGATAACTTATAGATGGCGCCACGTGCACACACTTTTTTTGCAAAAATACCATGCTATTTTTTTGAAACTTCCGTAATTTTATTTCTGATACGACAGAGTCATTTTCTGGTATGTTCTAAGTAAAAAGGTATTTTTGTAGACCAAGTAATAGCCGACTATTAATTTCTTAAATTGGTTAAGGCTTTCGCGGCCCGTTGATAAGCTATTATCTTGATTCGGGTTTAAAGGCCGTCGTCGATTGGAATTACTTCCTAACGTTTCGCTAGCAGAGGTCCTTCCATCTTCGTCCAACATCGGAGATGGAAGGACCTCTGAAGAAGCTCGCCACTCGTGCTAGCGCAACGTTAGGAAGTAATTCCAACCGACGACGGCCTTTAAACCCGAATCAAGATAAGAGCTTATTAATTTATCATTAAAGATATTCCTTTTAAATGAACTCACCAATAGTTGCGAGTGAACACCGACAAAGATAGAAGACTCTTAATACAAAAAAAACCTATTGTGTTTTTTATTACTATTATTAATGAAAAACTAATATAAGGAAATTTTTTTAGACATAATTAGTGTTGGGGCAGGTCAGTTGTCCACTTCTTAAATGACTAATCAAATTCAATCAAAATGTTTTAAATAACATCTTGTAGAGTGTTATCTATCATTATTTAATAATAATTTGTATTTTATAATAAATTGTTATGCGTTTCTGATGTGCAATTTATAACCTTCTTCAAGGAATACCCGAATACGATATTTAGCGATTCGAGGAATCCCAATAAAAATATAAATAAATATAAATTTCATTGTTTTTAAAAAATTGAACCGCTCAATTCCACAACCCTAAACATAATTGTAATCAAATCAGATTTTATTTAACTAGCTTAATAATTACAAAAAACAAAGTAGATGTGACCATGCATTTCGATACATTTTGTAATTCTTTTGTTGAATTACAAAATGATTAACGCATCCTGAATTTTATGCCAAAAATAGAAGCGGACTTCTTTTGCCAATCCAACGGTCATAAATGTTACGAAAAATATTTGCCCCCCTTGCCCCGACGCGCCGTCTAATCAAATCATTCCCGTTCGTTAAACTTTCACCCCGATTAGGCCGAGTTAATTAAATCTCCTCCACGCGATCTAACTCGTAAATTAAAACGTAGAAAAGACGTTTATGATATTCGCACGATCCATTTACTAATTAAATCGCTGTCGTTAACACGGACCGAGAGGCGACCGTCTTAAAACAAATCGCCTTTGTTTTGGTTACAAAAATTCGACGCGATAATCGAATTGCTTTAAAAAAAAAAACCTCGAAATT